TTAACTACTTGTATTACTGAGCAATAAAATGGTTACTTTGTTTAGTTCCTTGACATTTGTTGCCATCTAGTGTGACTTTTGGGTATTACATGCTAAGTAGAAGGAATTACATATTTACATTCACAGTGGCAGTGAAAATGCCTGAGGATTTTATAAGAAAATAAATATATAACTTGAGAAGTGTACAATGTCACACATAGATTCTTGTATGGAACTTCCTTAGATAAACTTCCTACTCTTCCACTTTCTAGGTCTCTGATTTGGGCAAGTTGCTGAATGTCTCAAAGTACCAGTTTCTTCAATTGAGTGATAAGAACCAATTAAAATATATTGAGAGGGTTAAATAATCCATATATGCCACTTAGCAATGTATCTGGCACATAGTTGGTGCTCAGTACATGTTTTTGTTTGAAAATGCAAGTTATTTCAATTGGTGATAATTTTAAAAGAAGAAAAAAATTCACCTGGGACTAAATGGTAAGAAAAAGTAGAGGCTTTTGCGGTGACACCTGGGTGAGGCAAGCCAGGAGAAGCAGATAAAACGGTTAACTAGGCCTTTGGCCTGCCTACTTATGTTGGAAGGGAAATTGTTGAGAGGCATATGGAAAGGCTTGAAGGCACAGGCTTTGGCATGAAGTTACCGTAAGCATATCTGTAATGACATAACCCTCTAAGGGAAATTTTTTTTTTTAACTCATAACAAATTGAGCAAAGTATTTATTTCAAATTTGCTAAGACCTATCCTGCTATATACCTTCATGGGTAGGTAGTGTGAGCTTAAAAAAAATTAATTATTATGTGTACATAATAATTGTACATATTTGTGGGTTACATGTGATATTTTGAAGATTAATTTTTTAAACAGCAACCTGATAGATTGAACAAATATTTACAAACACTTTTTTCCCCTTTTTCAAATATCCGTATTATTCTGTTCCTTGGATTACAGGGAGTCAGGAAGGCAGGAATTAGAAGCCTGGATTAAAAAGAAAATCAGAAAAGTTTTGAGTATTTGTTTGTAGCCACAAGTGTAGGAAATAATGCTTCTTGATATGCACATTATCTGTCACAAAACAAAAACAAAGTATAAATATCTTGAAAATGGTACATAGGGATAGACTGGTAAGTTTCTGGTTAGCAAAGGTTTATAAATTAAAATCAATAGTTTGCATTATTCATAAATTAGATGCTTAAAATGTGTTAATATTTTTAATTTTGTGGGGTTTATTACACAAAAATAAAAACGTTTGTAAGCTTTTAAAGTTCATGTTCGTTAAGTGTGAGCTGTATATTTTTCATAAGATCTTAATTTCTTAGTTATTTATGAATTATTTTGTCACAAGGATTCCTTAAAAACTAACCCTAGCAGTTGGGAAGGACTCTTATATCATCTACAATAGGTTTCCTGTTTTAAAATTTTAGTTGACTAGATATAAATTTTGTTTTGGAAAATATTTTGACTGCTTAAGAGAGTAGTGTCTACCCTTTGGTTTAATAAAACCAGGACTGGCCGTGTGCGGTGGCTCACGCCTATAATCCTAGCACTTTGGAAGACCGGGGTGGACAGATCACAAGGTCAGAAGTTTGAGACCAGCTTGGCCAACATGAGGAAACTCCATCTCTACTAAAAATACAAAAATTAGTCAGGCGAGGTGGTGAGCACCTGTAATCCCAGCTACTCCGGTGGCTGAGGCAAGAGAAACGCTGGAACCCGGGAGGTGAAGGTTGCAGTGAGCCAAGATTGTGCCATTGCACTCCAGCCTGGGCAACAAGAGCAAGACTCCATCTCAAAATAAATAAATAAATAAATAAAACCAGGACTGAGAATATCAAGTCCAATAAACTGTCTTTGAAAAAAGTGTTAATATGTCAACGTAAAATGACCACACATAAAGAAATTTCCCAGAAAAGAAAAGGTTCCTTCAGGAATGAGTCTGCTGGGTGAGGGGAATGTATAATTCCCTAACTTCCCAAAACCTACAGCCATTTCCACTAAGGAAGGGGCTGTGCTCAGGCAGAGGGAGAGAAGCCAGGACTTGGGGACTACTGAGAGAAATAATAGCCATAGGCCTCAAATTAACTTTGTCACCTATAAAGATCTATCATTTAATGGTAATCAACAGTTTACCGACATAGGCTTTGAGAATTCAGTTACTATAAAGATCTATCTGCTGGGCGCAGTGGCTCATGCCTATAATCCCAGCACTTGGGGAGGCTGAGGTAGGTGGATCACCTGAGGTCAGGAGTTCAAGTCCAGCCTGATCAATATGGTGAAACCCTGTCTCTACTAAAAATACAAAAATTAGCTGGGGGTGGTGGGAGGCACATGTAATCCTAGCTACTTAGGAGTCTGAGGCAGGAGAATTGCTTGAGCCCAGGAGGCAGGGGTTGCAATGAGCTGAGATGGAGCCACTGCACTCCAGCCTGGGTGACAGAGTGAGACTGTCTCAGAAAGAAAAAGTAAAAATCTTTCAATTGGTGGTAGTTGACTGTTTACTGACCTAGCCTTTGAGAAGTCGGTCATTATGTCCTTACTGAATGGTTAAAGGGGTACTCAATCGACAGGGGTTCTGGAAACAGGAGAAGAAACTCTAGAATTAAGAGAAAGCTTTAATGGAGACACTGTATAAATATTTGTTTAGTAGACCAAAATCTTTTAGTATGTGGGGTCCATTGTAAAAGAGTTATCTTTAGAAAGATTAAATCATTTTTTTGATTCCAAGTATTACTATACTTTTCTATTTTCTTCATTGTGGCCAGGCATATATGTCAAAAATCAAAGCAAATAAAAGTAAAAGCTATTTTATAGTATGAAATCATTGGTTACACACTAAGTGACATCAGTAACCAGTTTTTGTTTTCTTTTGTTTTGGTTTGGTTTTTGGTTTTCTCGGGATGGAGTCTCGCTCTGTTGCCCTGACTGGAGTGCAGTGGCACCATCTTGGCTCACTGCAACCTCAGCCTCCTACCTGCCTCAGCCTCCAAAGTAGCTGGGATTATAGGCACCCACCACCACACTAGCTAATTTTTGTGTTTTAGTAGAGACAGGGTTTCACCATGTTGGCAGGCTGGTCTCCAGCTCCTGAACTCAAGCAATCCACCTGCGTCAGTCTTCCAAAGTGCTGCGATTACAGGCATGAGCCACCATGCCTGGCCAATGACCAGTTTTTTTGTATTCAGTGTTTTGTTGCTCGTGACTCATCATCACCCATGGGTGGTGGCTAGTCCTAATAGAGGGAAGACCATCCACAAAACCAAGGCTTCAGCAGTGCCTTTGTTTACATGATTTTACAGCTTCTCACTTTGTGCTTCTCTCTGTATCATCCTATCTTGGTGAGTTTTTGTTTAATGAAAAACTTTCTGACCGGATATATTGGTTTATTTTAAGTAATCATTTTATCTATTCATACCAGTAGTATTCATTATATGAGGGAAAATTATGAGCATTTACTGTGCTCATGTGAAATATTTTTCACAAGAGCAATTACACTGTGAGTCAGAAAGAGTGACTAACTCATATTTCAAGCTCTCAGGCCTTAAAGCAAAAGTATGCTTTTTTCATTTATTTGAAAATTGAATTTAAAATTTCCTTTCCAGGCATTCTCAGCTAGAATTTGGACTTGGGACTATCTCCCTAGGAGAATCATTTTTAGTGATTGTATTTGTTTATTAGTTAATCTGAGACCATTGAATTTTACCTTTATTTTTTATGCCTGGGAGAATAGAAACTTTTCAGAAGATAAAAAGAAATTGGAAACTTTTCAGAAGATACCAAAAGAAATTTATTAGTTAATCTGAGACAATTGAATTTTACCTTTATATTTTATGCCTAGAAGAATAGAAACTTTTCAGAAGATACCAAAAGAAATTGGAGTTTAATGCTTTCCAGATAAAGAGAGGGACATTCACATATCCTAGATATTTGTTGTCTGTATTTATTATAGCGTTCACCAGAGGGAAGCATAACTATGCATAAGACTCACAGTGCTTACCGAGGCCATTTCCGTCTCCATTAAAATCAAATGTGACTATGAAACTTATAATCACACAGCATGTAAGTCATATGAGACCTGGGGTTCTTTCTTCCAATTCAGGAGAAAAGAAAGGTTGGGAGAGACGGATATTGTACATAAGGCCCACTGGAATAAGACTATAAGATACTATAGTACCTTATTTTTATGAGAATTTTTAAAAATTCGGATTTTACTATACAATCTATGCATGTAACTAAATTACACTTGTACCCTGTACATTTATACAAAAAAAAAAAAAACCTCCCAAAATTGGGATTTTGAAGTCATATTTTATTATCTGGTATTATACATAAAGATATTGTAGAAGTGGCCAAAATGAAGTTAGGGTATTTTTATTTCTGGAAATGCAAGTGGGAAATTTAGAATAAAGGACAATTATGAGCTTTACCAGAAATGAAGGATCCTCATAAAACTAAGTAGTGAATACTGTTTTGAGTCTTTCCATTTAACTTATGATTATTACATAATTTTTACTTTAGTTGTATGTTTAAGGGAAGTGAACTAAATTTTGCCTTAGTTATATTTAAGGAAACTTGATTATTATATAGTATTAAACAAAAGATGCCTGTGTGTAATGATATAGTCAACATTTCATTTTGCTATTTGGATCGATCTATCATCATGTAGTATAATCATATATAATTGAAAATATTAGAGCACCTGGTTTTTCTGGTTCCCTTTTTCAAAATTCTGACTCATCTGTGGCCCTCATCAAGGTTCATTACCTGAATTTTGTCATTGATTAATTAATAGGGCTTTAATCATGAAAATTGAAATATGTCAATAAATGTAACATCTGGATACTCTTTGGGGTCAATAAGTAGTATTGATAAACATATATGAAGTTATTCTAATGGGCTTGATAGTGAATTTTAACTATTTTAAATACGGTTAAAGCTTAATTATCTCATTTTCCCCTTACTGTTTTTAAATTCTCAACTCCTCTTTCAACCTGTTATATCCTAGCAGGCTTTAATCCAGTGTGACCAGTTGAGGAACGAGCTGGAGAGGCAGGCAGAGCGACTTGAAAAAGAACTTGCATCTCAGCAAGAGAAAAGGGCCATTGAGAAAGATATGATGAAAAAGGAAATCACAAAAGAAAGGGAGGACATGGGATCAAAGGTAATTAAGGATATTATCCACTCCGATATTATCCACATTGCCAAAGAAACGTTTCTTATGATGCCATGGATGATTCCGTAGGCTGGAGTTCTTGAATGAACTTTACATTTTAAAATTGTTATTGTATAAGTAGTTAAATTTCTTGTAATTTAGAGTTCATAAAAATGTTATTTTTTTATATACTTCTCATTCGTTTATTTTGACCTTTTCAAATAAAATAATCAATTAGATTCCATACTATGAAATTATAAAATATACTTTAAATCCTGCCATTCTGTTTGATTCTTTTCTCTCTCATGTTTCCCAGAGGAGTGCTATGAAGTTACTCAGCTTTTATTTCAGCCTTAGCTAAATCAAGGAGAGGTGACTCCCCTGCTTAATCTCCTAGCCCTAAATTAAACATGCAGAAGATAAAACACTTGTAAGAAACCGAGTAACCAAGAAAAAGTGATTATAGACTCTGTATGAAATCAGTTCTGACAAGTTACCTGGTCGATAATGACAGTAACCAGATGAAGGGAGAGATGTAAGGCGAAAGGAACAGATAACATGAAATGAGCAGTGTTTGAAAAAGAGTTCACAAACTAGAATACAGAGTTGAGTGGGACCTAGCTTTAAAATTGCTAACTAGACTAGAATTGAGCAAGTTGTGGTCCTTTGAGTAACCAAAACAACTGTGCTACATGTTTGTTTTTAAAAGTGGACTCACAGCTTGTACTCTAAATGCTATGTTGTTGTAAGATTCCAATGTGTGATAATTAACTCATTCAGTGAACGTATACTGAGAATATGTGCTATGTACAATACAGTGTGCAGGCCTAAAGATATGGAAAGAGAAAAATTGCCACTTCTGCCCAGTGAGTTTTCAGTCTTATGAGTAAACTGAGGCATTTCCTGTAAACTTCCTTGTCTTCTTGCCATTTTTGAAAACCGCATCTGTCAAAACCCTACTACCTGCCGTCTCTGCCTTGGATTGGTGATCTCAGCTGGTAAAAATCCCACAGCCTTGCAGATGACACAGCTGTACCCTCCAGGTCTTCAGTGTCCACAGCTCTTTCAGCGCTTTCTAGCAGTCCTCTTATGCTTTCCTCTCTCTTCTTCATTCCACAATCACCAGATATTAACCGAAGGGGCTGGGAATGTCGTAGTCACAGGAACAATGCTGTTTCCTCATAAAGCCTACGAACTGGTAGGAGAAGCAGATGGTACAGAAATATTTTCATAAGTGAGCTTTTATCATCATTGTGATAAAGCCGCAAAATTCTGTTCAGGGTACTGTGGGAATGTGTAACAGGGGGATCTGACCTAGTCACGAAACACCTTCCTGAGACAGATTTTGACAATGAGACCTGAAAGCATTGATGAGTGGTCAGGTGAAAAGGGGAAGAGGGTTTCAGGCCCAGGAAAATAACACACCCAAGACTCGGGACCTGGAAAGCATCGCACTTTCTAGGCATTTGGAGAAGGCCCTGATGGCTGGAGCATAGAGAGAGAGGGACAGAGTAGTGGGAATGAGTTTGCAGAATTATGCTGGGGCAGAATAATGAATGGCTTTAAAATCCATATGAAATATTTAAAATTTTGTCCAAAAAGTGATGGAAAGCCATTGAATGACTTTAAATTGGTCAGTGTCATGATGCCATTTATGTTTGAGAAGAATCATTTTGTCAATAGATTGGAAGGAGAAACTGAGTAGGTGCCTGGAGATCAGCTGGGAGGTGATGATCGTAGTCCAGGTAGGAAGTGGTGGTATCTTGAAAGCATTTCTTTAAGGACGATTTCAAATCACTTGTTCTTCTCAAATTCCTTATAATACAGCTTTCCCCCTTATTCTCAGCAGAGAGCCTTACTTAACAAAGAAAATTGAAGCCATTAGGTATTAACCACCTCAACTATTTATCTTCCTCATGCCTTAAAATACGTTTTCACCTGTATTCCAACCCAGTCTGAATGGGAAAGACTTTTTCCTGATCCTTTCCCCTTCCCGTGGGTCCCATCTCCTTTCACCCCTTCAAGGAGCTCATTCCATTTGTCCACTCCGCTTTTCTGAATCCATCTTTCCTTCACTACAGTCTCTGTGTTATCATCAGGAAAATACTTTCAAATGTCTCTTACTATTGAATGAAACAATCTTTCTTCTCATCTGTGTTTCTTAATTTTTGCTACACAAGAAGTTCTAAAAATCCGATTGTCCAAACAGTACTCCAAACCAATGACATCAAAATGTCTGAGTAGCATCCAGGCATTGGGATGGTGAAAGCTACCCAGGTCAGTCCAATGGGCAGCCAAGGTTGGAAACCACTTCAGTGACTCCATCTCCCTCTTTAACTCTTTTAGTGGTCAAGTTTCTTGAAGGATTTGTCCATACGTGTTGTCTTTATTTTGTCACCTTTCACTCTTCAGCCCACTGCATTTCAACCTCTGTGCCACAGCCAATGAAATGACCATTGCTGTGTTCACTAAAGAGCTGCTTGTTCTATATTTGCTGATTTTTTTTATAGTCTTACTTTCCTTAAAAGGTACTTTTTCCTTGATTTCTCTCAATTCATGTTCTTGATTTGGGAGAACGATGCTGTATGTCTTTTACATTACTCCGAGTTTAAAGTGCTTTGAGGCAAAGGAGACCATCCAGAAAGCAACTTGATAGAAGGATCTAGAGTTTAGCAGGGAGCTAAAGATTTAGGTGTCTTTAGCAGTACTGTGGCTTGAATTCCATGAATTCCATATATATATATATATATATATGGCTTTAGGAACTAAAGCTTCGGGACTAAAGCTATTTGATTTCTAAATATTTAACTGTATACTGAGCTCCAAAACCAGCTTTACTTTCCACCTTCCCTATCCCAGTAGACCCACTATTCATTCAGTTACCCAGCACAGAAATCTTGTCACCCTTTTCTCCCTGCTCCTTCTCACGCCACACATCTTATCATCACCAGGTTCTAAGACTTAAGACCCTAAGCGTTTACATTGCCTCGTCTCTCCATCCTGCTGCTCCCCATATCTCATCCTTGGGTGGTTCCTATAGCCCCTGTGGTGTCCTGGCCTCCAGTCTCACCTTCCTCTCTGTTCTCCAAACCACAGCTGGGATGATCCTTCTCACATGAACATCTCAATACGTCAGTCTCTTAATCCTTTCACATCTCCCTGCAACCCTGGATAAAATTTAGGATCCTTTAGCATAGCATAATGACTCCAAATATTCTTTCTCTCTTTGGCTTTCCAGTCTTATCTTCCTTCATTTTTCTTCTTTGCACCCTCGCTACACTGACTGGCCTACTTGTACTTCCCCAAGCATGAAAAGATGCCCCTCTTCCATACTGGTTTTTTTTCAGTGCAGGATTCTGCATGTGCTTTGCCCCCTGCCTAGAGGAATCTTCCTCTGCCCTCTTTAATGGATTCTTCAGAGTTGTTTGTTTGTTTTTGAGACACGGTCTCACTCTGTCACCCACGCTGGAGTGCAGTGGGGTGGTCGTGGTTCACTCAGCCTCGACCTCTCAGGCTCAGGTAATCCTCTTACCTCAGCTTCCCAGATAGCTGGGACTACAGGAGTGTGCCACCATGCCGCACTAATTTTTTTGTAGAGACAAATTTTTGCCATGTTGCCCGGGCTGATCTTGAACTCCTAGGCTCAAGCGGTCCACCCTCCTTGGCCACTCGAAGTGCTAGGATTATAGGCGTGAACCACCTCACCTGGCCCAGGGTTTTTCTTGGTGCCACCTCCTCTCAGAGCCTCCTACAGCTGAATTGGGATCCTCTCCTGTGGTCTCCCCAACTCATTTTATTACAAATTCTTGTTGAATAGTTTGCCTTCCCTAATTCAGTATGAGTCCTTTGCATGTAACATCCTCATTGCTTGGCACATTCCTCTCATATAAAATGTGCTCAGTATATGTTTGGTGAATGAAAGAAATGAATTACAAGGAAAAGAAAAATTGGAAAGGCACGACTAAAATGCTGAGAGTTCAGAGGATCAGAAATGCTTGTCTGCAAGAGATCATGGAAGGCTTTGCGAAAAAGATGGTGTTTTAATGGAGCTTCCAAGAAGAGGCAGGGTTTAGAAACGCGGAGTATGGGGGAAGGAATGCTCCTGTAACCAGTCTGAATGAGACCTGGAAGGGAGATGAAGCTGTGAATTGAGTGTTGTGTGTGAGAGAGAATGGTTTCAATAGCAAAGACCGACTATTGTTCACACCTAGGAAATTTTTATTTTTTGATTGTTTGCTGGAAACTATTTGCCTTGCTGAGGAGTTTAGAAGTATGTGATGAGGATTCCTGATAAGAAAGGAAAAATGAAGGCTGAAGCGTACCTGGCAGTGTTCCAGGAGCTTTCATATGTGACAGAACCTCTCTCTTCTGCTGACAGTTGTTTCATGAATAAAGGTGATGACAGAAATGAGGCACATTTTTAATTTATCATTTATTTATTGATTTTTAACTTTTGTTTTACATCCAAGGGAGTACATGTGCCGGTTTTTACCTGGGTATATTGCATGACGCTGAGGTTTGATTTACAGATGATCTTGTCACCTACGACATGAGCATAGTATACCCAGTAGTTAGTTTTTCAGCCCATGCCTGCCTCCTTCCCTCTCCTCTCTAGTCATCCCCAGTTTCTATTGTTGCTATCTTATATCCAGGAGTACCTAATGCTTAGCTCCCACTTGTAAGTGAGAATATGCAGTGTTTGATTTTCTGTTCCTGCGTTAATTCAGTTAGGAATGTGGCCTCCAGTTGCATCCCTGCTGCTGCCAAAGACATGATTCCATTCTTTTTTTATGGCTGCATAGTATTCAGTGGTGTATATGTACCACATTTTCTTCATCCAGTCCACTCCTGATGGGAACCCAGGTTGATTCCATGTCTTTGCTATTGTGAATAGAGGTGCAGTGAACATGTGAGTACATGTGTCTTTTTGGAAAGGCAGTTTGTTTTCTTATGAATATATACCCAATAATAGGATTGCTGGTAGAATGATAGTTCTGTTTTAAGTTATTTGAGAAATTTCCAAACTGGTTTCCACAGTGGCTGAACTAATGTGCATTCCATCAACAGTGTAGAAGTGTTCTTTTCTCTGCAGCCTCACCAGGATCTGTTGTTTTTTGACTTTTGATTAATAGCCATTCTGACTGGTGTGAAATGGCCTCTCGTGGTTTTGATTTGCATTTCTGTGATGATTAATTAGTGTATTAGTCTGTTCTCACACTGCTATAAAGAAATACCTGAAACTAGTGATTTATAAAGAAAGGAGGTTTAATTGGCTCACAGTTCTGCAGGCTGTACAGGAAGAATGGCTGGGGAGGCCTTAGAAAACTTTCAGTCATGGTGGAAGGGAAGCAGGCATGCCTTCTGTGGTTGGAGCAGGAGGAAGAGGGAGCAGGGGGAGGGCCTACACACTTTTAAACAACCAGTTCTTCTGAGAACTCACTCTCATGAGAAGAGTGAGGGAGAAACCTGTCCCCGTGATCCAATCACCTTCCACCAGGCCTTTCCCCCAACACTGGGATTACAATTTCATGTGAGATTTGGGTGGGGACAGAAATCCAAACCATATCATTCAGTAGTGATCTTGAACAGTGCTTCATATGTTTGTTGGCCATTTCTGTGTCTTCTTTTGAGAAGTGTCTGTTCATGTCTTTTGTTCGTTTTATAATGGAGTTGTTTTTAGCTTGTTCAATTGAGTTGACTTTCTTTATAGATTCTGGATATTAGATCTTTGTCTGATACATAGTTTGCAAATTTTTTCTCCTATTCTGTAGGTTGTCTCTTTACTCTGTTGATAATTTCTTTTGCTGTGCAAAAGCTCTTTAGTTTAATTAGGTCCCACTCATCAGTTTGTGGATTTTGTTGCAATTGCTTTTGAGAACTTAGTCATAAATTCTTTCCCAAAGCCCATGTAGGAAACACCCAGCATGGTTATTTTTTATATATGGTGAAGGGTAGGAGTCCAGTTTCATTCTTCTGCATATGGCTAGCCAGCTACCCTGCACCAGTTATTGAATAGGGAATCCTTTCCCCATGGGGGATTTTTGTCAAGTTTGTCAAAGATCAGATGGCTATATGTGTGCAGCTTTATCTCTATTCAATACCATACATTTCTAAACTAGAGTCTGTAAGTTGATTTTGTCTTTAGTAAGCCTTTGCTCACATTTGATCTTAAGATCCTGTTTTAAATAAAGATGTATGAATAAAGAGCTGACAGTGGTCATAGCACTGAGGTCCCAGCTCTCACCAGGAAATGCCAGAAAGTGGCTTTTGAGGAAAAGGATTTCGAGTTGAATCCGACTTGACCTTTCTGTGACCTTGAACAATTCACTTAACCTCTCTAAGTTTCGGAGGAGTAAATAAACTTTGTAATATGAGAAATAATTGATAGGATTAAGTGAGATAATGTTTAGATAATATCTAATGTAATGCCTGACTTAACTGTGGGCACTGAATAAATTGTAACTTATGGCTATTCTTGTTTTAGAGAAAAAGAGAAGGAGCCTTACTGGATCGATTTCTTGGCCCTTTGTGTTAGTAAAACAGACAAACTTTTTTGTAAAGCTGAGCTTTATCTTTTATTTATTAGTTTGAATGAACTTGGACAAGTTAGTTTTCTGAATCTCATTTTTTCAAATGAAACGTAATTCAATATAATTCCTTCTCTAGGGGATTTAATTATTTATTTATTAGAGACAGGGTCTCACTGTGTCACATAGGCTGGAGTGCAGTGGTGTGATCATAGTTCATCATATCCTCAAACTACTTGGCTCAAGCAATCCCCTTGCCTCAGCCAGGACTACAGGCATGTGCCATTGTGCCTGGCTAATTTAAAAAAAAAAAAACATTGTAGAAACAGGATCTCACTGTATTGCCCAGGCTGGTCTTGAACTCCTGGCAGTCCTCATGCCTCAGCCTCCCAAATCGCTAGGGTCCAAGTGTGAGCCATGGCACCCAGCCTTTCTCAGGGGATTTAAAGAGAGAATCCATATCATACTGCCTGACACAAGAACATAATTGTTTTTTCAGATGGAGTTCTTTGCGCTGACACCATCTCTGCTCACTGCAACCTCCGCCTCCCGGGTTCAAGTGATTCTCCTGCCTCAGCCTCCTGAGTAGCTGGGATTACAGGCGCCCGCCACCATGCCTGGCTAATTTTTGTATTTTTAGTAGAGACGGGGTTTCACAGTGTTGGCCAGGCTGGTCTTGAGCTCCTGACCTCATGATCCACCCGCCTTGGCCTCCCAAAGTGCTGGGATTACAGGGGTGAGCCACTGTGTGTGGCAAGAACATGATTTAATAGGGTGACTGACCAATTAATCATAACATTGTAAGTGCCAGGTAAAGTTAGTGCTAGAATAAGCACTCCTGCTTTCCTACCAGTGGGAATACTTGTGAAACTTTTCTTTCTTTTCATGTATTTTTTAAAAATTTCTCCGCTACTTTTCTTATTTTAAAAAAATTCCATTTGTGTGTGAAGCTGTAGGAGAGCAGATGCCTTCTACCTACACGGGTTTGAATCATTCCCCCGGCACTTGCTGTGAGTTTGTATGTTATCTTCAATAATGGTCCTCGGCTGCACTGAGCACTCAGGTTTGTCAGTTCATTCAGTCATTGATCATATATTTATCGAGCACCCCCTGAGGTCCTCACATTTTCTCGATTGCTTTCCTTGACAGTATTCATTGTGAAAATCCTTAATTGTGTCTCTTGTATAGGGAGTACAGATTCATACCGTGTTCAATACACTAGGGACTGCTCTGCAGAAATTTCTATCAACCTCTCCCAACCTGGGTGTCCTTGTCTCTTCCTTGCCCCTGTCAAAGTTTAAAGGACTTACCTGATGTCAACGTCCTGGACATCCAGCAGTGTTGCAGCTGTGTCTGTGTTACTTCTGGCTCTGCAACAGATGTGGATGGAGAAGCTCCTGCCGTGTAATGTTGACTTCCAGATGGTGGGCGTGGGGAAAAAGAAGGTGTGACAACAGGAGGGGAGACCTCAGAAAGTGGGTGACAGGAGGCAGCAGACAGGTAGTGGGCAAAGGAAGGAAATGATGGGTGGCAGAGGGAGGAATCATAAGGAAGAGATTTGTGACATGCCTTATAGGAGAAATGGACTAGAATTTGTAATTAGCAAAATAAATGTCAGTATATTTATTTCAAAAACCATACAATGTTAAGATGTTTACCATCAGTTATGTATGTCCACATGAATAAGTAAAATATGATTTTTAGTAGCTGGTAATTAACGTTTGTTGCTATTGTATGGTTCCAGAAAAGGTATAATTACACATTCATAATATATATGCTCATGAACTGGAAATTTTAAATTAAGAAATTAAATTGATGTTTTTGATTTGTCATATTTAACTCCTTTTCAACTTTAGGTTTAGATTGCAGTGTGCCCAAGAATACTTTGTAGTTTGTTATTAGTAAACTTAACTGTGTGGGAAAATTAGATTTGTAGACAATTCTTTGATCATAGGGGCATGTAAACAGCCACAAGTCAAATATACAATTCTTTACTATCTTCAGAAAAGTTAATTAATACCTCTGCCTAAATTAGAAAATAGTTACTAGGCTCATTACTTTGATAGGGTCAACTTTAACTAGTTCTGTAGTTCTTTGGCAGACACCCATCTTCATTGTATTGATGTAAGGGTCTTAATTTACTAAACCTTTGGTTCAATATTGATTTTATCATATACTTTTAGTAACTGATTTTAGTTATAAAACTGAATTCACATCCATGTCAGTGTAGAACGGTAAATTTCAAACAACAATGGTAAATTTTAAACATCATTATTTAAAATTTGTCACCAGTTCTTGTTTTACCAGATAAGAATTGATAGGTATTCCTATATGTTTTGCTGCTTTTACATTTAAAAAAATGCCAGTACAAATAAGGAATTAAGAGCCTAGAAAATTTTGACTTCCTGGAACAGAACAAAATGTAATTGCAAACCAAAAACTATACAGAATAAACCTAAGATCTTGAAAGTATTTCTAATCTTGAGAAGAAAACCTGAGAACCTAATATCCATAGAGTCCCTTGGAAAGCTATTTATTCTAATTAATTATTCATTCATCAAACATTTGGTACCTCTTGAAGAACATGCTCTTGAGGAGCTTCTCGAATGAGGAAACAGACAGCTAAGAACAGTGGGATGAGTACTGTGGTAGAGGTATGCAGAGGTTAGTGTGTGATGGAGGTATATACACAGATTTATGAGCACACACCATAGTGATATTCAAAATATTAATCACTACAGCATGGGAAACAATCAGTGAGAATGGACACAGGCTGCAAGCAACAGGCATAACTGTCCCAGTGCAGACTGGGACAGCTGAATATCAACCCTGAACATGGGAGGGACTGCCTATTTTGTGCTGGGAACTGGAGTCAAGGAAGACTTCCTGGAGGAGAGGAGATCATGGCTGAGCTGAAACCTATTGGAGAAATGAGGGAGAACCAGATAATGGGAGTGATAGGTGGGGTTTTACCAACAAAGGGAACTTCACAGAGCCTCTTCTTTGCTGGTGTCGGGAGAAGGGTAGTGGGAGTCACAGCAGATCAGTTGCTCTCTCTAAATAACTTCTTCACTCTTCACTCTTCCAGTCACTCCTTTTATGCCCTCCATGTGGAAGAAGGCTTTAAGAGTTGTCTGATTCTTCTACATCTCCTCTGAATGTATTTATGGCGCTCTGTTCCATAACTTACTTGGGTGTTTGATATCTGTCACTTTAGGGTTTCAGCCTTTGATTTTATCATCTTGTTTTACATGTTTCAAAATGAGCTTAGAGATCAGGGGAATGGATAGTAGAGAAGTAGGAAAGAACTACATATTTTAATTCACTGGGCGTAGGTGAGTAGAGGAGGTAGAGAAATGAACATACCCAATCCATAGAGAATGGCAGTGAAAATACTGAGATGCTATTAATTCAAGAAAGTTTTAGTATTTGTTTTGTCAAATGACATTATTGTTTAGGACCTTTGTTTTCCCTTACAGATGTTGATCCTGTCTCAGAATATTGCCCAACTGGAGGCCCAGGTGGAAAAGGTTACAAAGGAAAAGATTTCAGCTGTTAATCAACTAGAGGAAATTCAAAGTCAGCTTGCCTCTCGGGAAATGGATGTTACAAAGGTACAGAGAGAGATTTTAGTTTAATATTACTTAAGGAACTATTTTCTTTAAAACTTTTTTCGGCCGGGCGCGGTGGCTCAAGCCTGTAATCCCAGCACTTTGGGAGGCCGAGGCGGGTGGATCACGAGGTCAAGAGATCGAGACCATCCTGGTCAACATGGTGAAACCCCGTCTCTACTAAAAATACAAAAAATCAGCTGGGCATGGTGGCGTGTGCCTGTAATCCCAGCTACTCAGGAGGCTGAGGCAGGAGGATTGCCTGAACCCAGGAGGCGGAGGTTGCGGTGAGCCGAGATAGTGCCATTGCACTCCAGCCTGGGTAACAAGAGCGAAACTCCGTCTCAAAAAAAAAAAAAAAAAAAAACTTTTTTCCTAATGCCCAAAGCTCTTATTGTTATCAGGAAGAAGTTTGGAGCACAAAAGTTTTTTGATTTCAAGAATAATAAAAGGCTACCTAATGCTTACTCAGTAAACGTTCATTTACTGTACGCAGGCCCTTAATGGGTATTGCATGTACAGAGATGAATTAGAAACAACTAATGTCCTCAAAGAACTTAAGGGTTAAGTGGCAGAGACAGACATAAATAAATAAGAATTACATTACTTTAATTATTGAATATTTGATAAACCTTATTTTTCTAAATTAATTAGAAATGCCTTGTTTTTCCGTAGATAGCATAGGGTTGCTGTTTACATTAATTGCCAAGAACACATATTGACAACTTAAAAGATATGCTTAACATAAAAAAATCTTCCACTTCCTATTCCTTTTCAGACTGGTCATTAAAATAAAGATTCTAATACTACATGATCTTATTTTATACTTTGAAATACTACATTGTCTGTGCTGTGGGCGTCACTGGCATGTGAATCAAGAACTAAAATGTTTAATGGTCTTTACTGGCAATGATTAATATGGAAGGCACATATTTTAAGAAATACTAGTAGTCCATCTAGATTTCAATAGTTAATGCTTTAAAACTAAGAAACCAAATATGGGCATGTGTAATGTAATAAATGAAATTAATTTATTTTTTACTGCTAAATACACAGGTGATTTGCTTAAAATACTCTTCCCATATTACCTTTTATTAATTGACGTATTTTCCTAAATTTTGACATATTTGTAATGCCGTTGTTGCTCTATAATTCAGCAATTAAAATTATTTTTCCCCTTTTTCTTGAGTTTCTGTAATTCTCCTTCTGCTTTGAAGCATTCATATTAGCTAATGTAGAAGTTTAAGAAGCTCAAATTTGCCAATCAACCTGATGTTTTTGTGTGGAGATGGGGTGGAAGTGAAGAAATTAGTTCAGAAGGATAGAAATGCTTAACCTAGATTTGTGGGTGAAGCTATGATAAGACAATTTTCAGTTGGTAATAGAGAGACAACATTCTGTTGAAATGTGGTACAGCAAAGAGAGTTCTCTGTCTCAAGAACTATCTGAAAGGACTTACGCATCAGAAGAGATTAGACTAAATTGCCTTGAAGTTGTTTCCACCATGGAGATAATACAGTTCTAGTTCAATTTAATGTGTTAATTTAATATTAAATAGAATTTGAATGTTGTGGATAAACTTAGCAAATGCTGAAATGAAAGTAGGAAAGCAGGGAACTTTAGGAGTAAAATTAAGGGATGAAATGATTTTAAATAAGACCTGATGCTTAGACATTTTTTACATAATAAGTTCGTACTGATGTTGGGTTTTGAACATCATAGTTGTCTAATTGTGGTCTTCTGATATTATCAGCTGGGGGTTTTATTCCATTTTATTCCTAGATATACATAGGACTATTGAAGAATTGGGAGAGAAACAAAGTATGACTCCTCTAATTTTTTTCCTGTCACTCTGAATTTTTAATTTTATTCAGGTTTAAAATTAATAGCTTTTATAAATTTATAATTTTTGAAATTGGAAGAGTAAACTCTCACACATTGAAGCCATTTGAATTTACAGTAGAATTTTTAATACCCTCATCATTGTTCTAGCTTTCTGAGGGCCACTGGGGAGAAGGAAGCCTATTGACTTTTTCTCCTGTTTTGTCACTATAGCTTTTAAATGTAGATTATTTCTTAAATTACTTTTTAGGTTCTGTTTTATTTGTTTGGAGACAGGATTTTATTGTGTTGTACAGGCTGGAGTGCAGCAGGTATTCACAGGCACTGGCACAGCACTCCATAGTCCTGAGCTCCTAGGCTCAAGCCACCCTTCCGCTTCAGCCTCCAGAGGTACTGGGACTGCAGGCATGCGCTACCATGCCCATCTTAAATGCATATAGGTTTTATACTGTAGTATATTCTAATACCTCAGTAATGATGAAACTGACTTATGAAGTTTCCAAAATCATCATTTTTGGAGGAATATCAAAATTGAAAAGTTTCAAGAAAGCATAACCATTGGATAATATATTATTTTTAAGAGCCATATATTTGTAAATTAGAAGCAAACTTAGCAGACTTGTACATTAATTGAACTCTCTATAGGTTCTCAGTTATCTCGAAAGGCCCATAATTTTCTTGTTTAGATTCATCTGCTAATTACAGTTTTCAAATATATGTCTGTGTCTGTAGCAGCCCTAGATTGGAAAAAATAATTAGTGTCAAGTATAAAGGATAATATGTAACACTTTTAAGATGCTATGTATGTTCGTTATTGATGCTGTATTACAATTATTTCATTTAAAAGCATATTTTTCTTTTATATTGAATGGTACAGTTATAAGTGCATAGTGGGCTTAGTTCCAGTCTATGTTTTTTTTTGCCAGAAAAGTCTTCCTTGACTTGAATACCTGGGATTGTGTGTGAAAAGATGACATTATCTGCAAACCTTGCAGTAAATACTGGATACTACAGATGTAAATATCAATAGCATGTCCATTAGCAGATAAAAATTTCTTTATACATTTCCTTTTTAAAGGGCATAAGTGATGAAGTCTTTAAAAGAAAACTTTAAAATATAGAGTGAATATTTAACCATAACCATGTGAATGAATAATAACATAGCTTAACATTTTAACTACTAACTTTGCCTATTTAAAAAGTTAGATGATAGTGCATTTTGGTTGATAATATGCAATTGAAACTGTTATTTTATATAAAATAATCTTGGGCACATTACTTAAATTCCTTACTTATGCATTTATTTATCTGTACTTTGAAATTGTTAAAATCAATAATCCCTGATGTTGCTTCTGAATCTTAACAGGCTACATTTGAATATTCTAGTAGAAAATAGCATTCTTAGAAAAGTTTTGTTGTATTTTATCTATGTGACCTCTAGGGGGCACCAAAAGATTTAATTGCAGGCATTGCCTGGTAGATTCCAGCAGGTAATCATTCAGTTTTTACAATCTAACAGGTGTGTGGAGAAATGCGCTATCAGCTGAATAAAACCAACATGGAGAAAGACGAGGCAGAAAAGGAGCACAGAGAGTACAGAGCAAAAACTAACAGAGATCTTGAAATTAAAGATCAGGTAAGAGAGGACACATCATAATTGCAGCAATTATAGATATAAGTAGCATTCTTTCTCAAGTTGATGTTGTTTTATTCCTGTTATTTATTCATATTATTTCTAACTAATGGGATGATCCAGTTTATACTGTTAAGAAAATTTCTTTTATAGTTGCCTAAAATTATCACCTTTCACATGAAATGGTGAGAATACAACAGCATGCATATAAAATTCCAATCTGACAGGTCATAAATATACATTTGGTTATGTGTATCTATTACTTACAAAGTAAAAAGAAATGTTCTAATGCACAGTTTGAACCTAAAATATACATACATAAAGTTCTTGAAAGATGCCAACTTGAATCCAATTTTAAATGAAAAAGTTTAAAATTCGTAAGATGAGATGAGTTGATATGTAAATATGTCAATCAAATTGATTGTTGGCAGAGTGAAACCAGTTTTAGCTAAGATAACCATGAATACGTTTGTTCACGAAGCCTAAATACAGTGACATTAGAAATGTTAGGAGATCAAAGCTGCGTACTTCAATTTCTGCTTCGAACAGATGTTTTACGTTATATCTTTGTTGAGATGAAGTAGATACTCCAATTTTAGTTGACAACAGGGATAAAGTTTTTAGAGAGGCTGTTCTAATAGGCTGACTTTTGACTTTCTATTTTTATGTTACAGTACAGGACTTTGAAGATTTTCATTATATTCAAAAAAGTAGGTTGTTTATTCAACTAAAATAATAAGACTGGGCTCTTCGTGTCAGTATTTTAAAGGAATTGTTTTAGAATTTAGAAGTAGGCCACTCCAAATAAATTTTTTAAAAATATGTTTCTAGTTCGAGGTTTTTCATCATATTTTCTAACATATTTCCTCTTTTGAGTCAATTAACTCTTTACGACAAATGACGCAAAGACAATTGGGAAAAGGATTGAAAATGAAAGTGATAACGAAGTTTAGTACAAAAAGCTTTTCAAGTCATAACTGAAATCCTTAGGACTAAATTAAAATCCTGGCAACCAAAGTAAAATTCTGCATTTGCACCACTATATTTGGTGGTGTAATGGGTTTTAAATTTTCAGAAGACTTTTCATTATTAACATGTGCAGATAATGAAACTTATTTTATTTCATCCAGTTGGGGGCGTGCCTGATAGTGGAATGGAAAATACTTTCTATCAGGGACTGAAGGCCTAGTCTACTAAGTTTATCACAGATAACTTTTCTTTCCTGATGTACTGTAATTTTTTTTAAAAGGAATCATATTGGCATACTGACCGGCATTATCATATGCCTTTTGTATTATTCAACAGCACTCTGTCAGCATAATATTTTGGACTAACTGGAAAAATACATCAGGAAAGAGTCTCCGAGTTATTTAAAATTTCATTATAATGTTCTAGAGGAAAAAAAAACCAAACAATAAAAGTATAATATCATTTGTAAGTGAATAACTTGTTTAGAAGCATTCACCATATTAGAATTATTTGCAGTATTAAATCTCATTTTAGTTAACCCATGATGGTATGAAGGCTAAAGTTGCAGGATTTTATAAGGACCACTTTTCATTTGTAAACGTTTTCTGATAATAGTGAAGCAACCGTAGTTTTCATAATGACTTACAATGATATGTTTTAAGATAGAGATGTGCCTTTTTAGGAGGCCACAACTTTAGGAATAAAACCTCTCAATAGTTACAAGATGTTTGTGATGTGATGTGCTTGTTACCATTTTTTTCCCTGGACAGAATGTGAGGAAATCTTATAGGTACTCTTTTTAACTACTTTGTGTTGAACAGACAGTTTCAGAAAAGAAAGTAGTGGTGTCTCATTCCATGGATGATTTGGAGTAGCAAAGCAGCAATTGTTCTTTGGTCTTTCAGCCATGACCTGACCTTCTGTCTGTAAGGCCAAAGAACTACTTTGCTTGGCCACCATCTGCACTCAAGAGAGAAATTTACATTTAACTTTTAAAAGCCGGGCATGTTGAACATTTATCTGAAATACTTACAATGATAAAAAGTATATTAAATTTTTAAGTGTTGTGTATCTTACAATTCAGCATCACAAGAAGACTATCTGTAAGTTTGCAAGCAAGGTGTTCTTCATACTGTAGTCATTTTATACATATTTTAGTGAATCTGACCGCTTGATACATTTTTAAAGTAGGTGGGAAACTGTGAGATTGGAATGTGTGAGAACAAGAGCTTTTTTGATGTATACAAAATAGGGCAAATGGTTGACCACCAAAATAATTTTCCTTGTGACCTGAGCCTTGACTCTGGCATAATTAGAAGGAAAGGTCAGGAGAGTAACAATGGCAGTCTCTTCCACCCACTTTCTTCTTTTCTTCTTTACATTGTGTCAAGAACCGATGGGCGGATTATCCTTCCCATCAACTCCTTTGTATCTCTTCAGCTTAGAGAATTCCTGTCAGCCTCAGAGGATGCTTCTTGCACCAGAAAAAAAGGCATTTGGTATGGAGGAGAATGTGAAATATGCACTTTGATTTTTATTAGAAAATTTTTCAGGCAATGGTTACACACACACATACACACACTTCATCAGGGGAATTTAAAAACATATGTGAAGGTAAAGGGAATATTATAATGAATCTTCACATTTCCATCACTTACACTCATTTTGCCAGTCCTCTTCCACAACCCTAATCCATCGATCTCACTTTTTTTTCTCTCAACTTCTGTCCTCATCGTTACCTTCATATTCTTTGTCATGTTTTTTCTGCTCCGCTTTCTTCTCTTCAGCTTCTTCCTCTTCTCTTCTGTCATCTTCTTCTACTCTTTTTCTTCTTTTGAGAAGTATTTTAAATGGATCTCAGACGTTATGTTATTTTACTCATAAATACCCATGCTTGTCTATGAAGGATATTTTTATACACTGTGTCATTATACCTAACAATGTTAACAATAATTCTTTAATATCAAATTATACCCAGCCTATATTCTCATTTATTTGTCTCAAAAATGTTTGCTTTACAGTTGGTTTATTCAAATTAGGAAAACAAGTATGTTTTTGTATGTTAGAATGATCTGTTATTGCCCTTTGTAATAGGAAATAAATAGAACTCTTAGTAAAATTTCATCTTTCTTTGTTGTTGTCTGTTAAATTTTGTATATAATGTTTTGATGGTGGTTTATTTTTATGAAATGCTTCATCATCATTCTAAAGAAGTGTAAATTACTCCTGCAGTAAACTGTTTGAGGGAGTGGCTACCATGCAGCATTCCTGATAATCATATGCCAAAAGGAGCTTCAGAGAATCTGAAACCCAAAATACATAATCAATATCAGAGCCTTGTATTTAAGATTTAGGAATGTTACAGGAAGCCCTAACATTACAAGGATTAGCTGACCTGAAATGAGTGATGTATAGATAGAATTTTTTTGTCAACTTCCATTTCGGTAAATGAATCTCAGAAGATGATTCTTTACAGCCTCCAACCTTTGTTTAGGGCCCAGTGCAAAGTGAAAATACAGGACCATTTTGTTCAGAAAGCAGGAAAGAAATGACATTAAAAACCAAAATATAAAACGCTTTCTTTTCTTCTTCAGTCTCTCTCTCCTTGCCCCTCCTCCCTCACCAACCCAGACTTGACATGCCATATTTTATTTGCTATTTGATGTTAGGCTTCTTCCAGCATAGGGATGATACTTATGGGGGAGTGCAGACCCCACAGGTGCCCCATGGGCTTCTGGATTCTTCCTTCTTCTAGCCACAGGACCTACACCATGCCCCAGCATGGAGCAGGGAGTTCATTCTCCCCCACCCCAAGGAGGTCAGACAGGTGACCCCTGGGAGACTGCAGTCTCCATACTGGAACCTATTTGCTGTCTGGATCAGGGGTGGGGAAGAGGCTCTGCATGGAATCCACTGAGTGTGCTGTGGTGCTGCCAGCTTGGGGCAGGAATTATTACCTCCTTGTCCTGCTCTAAGATGCCAGGGATGGGCACACTTGATTCAGTCCTGTCTAAACACACATTCAGGATCCTGCCAGGGGCAAAAGACACACACCTCTCCCAGTGACATGCCCTGGTCCACCCTGAGTGGAGGGCAGTAACAGCAGCAGGGCAGGGCTGGCAATGAAGAAGCTGGAGAGGAATATATTTCTGAGAACTGCCCAGGGCTGCAGCGAGGCAGTGGAAAGATGAGACCACATATAGGAGTTCAGTCTCCATTGTCCCATCAGAGTGCACCTACAAAACACAATTCTAAGATAAAATTGCTAATCATTTCAAGACATTGATCATAGAGTCTGAAACTGCAAGTATAAGGGCCCTTCTAAACAGCACATATGTGACTGCACTGATCATGTGCCCAAGAAACTGCCATGACGACGGGAATGGGCAAATGGAGATTTCGAATGCTAATATATGTGTATATACCTCCACTTACATATACAGACAAATATGCATATTCAGTATGCTCATGTACCCAGTATTCATAAGAAAGTGTTAGCCAACTACAGCTCATAGGTCAAATCTGGTCTGCTGTCTATGTTACAAATAAAGTTTTATGAGAACTCAGCCATACCTACTTGTCTGCGTATTGCCTGTTACAACAGCAGAGTTGAGAGTTGTGATAGAGACCATGTAGCACACAAAGCCTAAGATATTTGCTGTCTGAACCTTTACAGAAAAAGTGGCCATCCCCTACCTTGAATATAGAAACACAACTATATTTTTAAGTTTCCTCTGCTTTACTAAAATGCTGAGCTTTGAGTTTGAAGACCCATGCATCTTAAATAGCAATGGTTTTGGAGTATTTTGCAGTACAACAAATGTGTCACATCTTTGGTCTCTTAAAAATCTAATGGCATTACCAAGTAAGCATATCACTGGTGATCATGGCATTCTCTTACTAGCAGCACGTGGCTTGCTAGTGGCTGGGATGGCAGCATAAGTACGGTATTATTTTATGTTTACAATTTTGTTTTTAGGTTGGTTCCAGTTTTATTATTCAGAGATAAGAAGGCTGACATAGAAAGCTTTGTT